TTGGCACTCGGAAAAAAGGAACAACTCTTTCCATACAAAAGTTAAGTGTTGTGAGTGCCGTAGAACTGTTTGTTGCAAGGAAAGGGGCTTTTGGAACCTGGTGTGGGCTAGAAGCGATAAGAATCACTAAGTGGAGTTCTTAGTGGATTGTGTGTTGTGCCGTCTCTGGGGAAAGCTGTTCTTCATCTCTTGTGGATTTCAAGAGAGGTGTTGTCTTTACCTTATCTCTTTGATTTGTAAACTGTTTGTAACAATTTGTTCTTAGTGACAGCGTTAATCCTCTTTTGAGTGATTAGCAACTGGACGTAGGGTCTTTTGATCCGAACCAGTATAAACCTACTGTGTAATCTTCTCTACTCTTCTCTATTTACATTTACGCAGTTTTTAATCGGTAAAATTTGGGGAAAATTTTGAAAACCTAATTTTTATTAAGAAACCAATTCACCCCCCCTCTTGGTTTTTGTCCGACCACGCGAACATTCCGCTGCGCGATTCTAACAGATATGTGCACAACACTTCACATGAAAATATTTACTTTTTCATAACAAAGTCTTTTGCAAATTAAGTGTGTCTTTTAAAAATTCCACTGTGCTATCATTTGATGAGGCATAATAAGAAAATATTTTTCCTTCTATTCCCCAATCCTTAAGTACTAAGTATAACTTTATTTCTTTTATGTTAAATACAGGTTATAAACATTAGTAATTGAAGTGTTTCTAATAATTGACTTAAAATGAAGAGTCAAAACTTTATTTACCTCACAAACCTCCTCATACTCATGGAAAATCATGCTTAATAATGAATCTAGCAACCTCTAACTCATGGATGACCATACTTAATAATACATTTAGCAAGTGCATTTTGGTAAACTTTAGAGTCAAATTCTCATTGTTTCAACCAGCTAGCCTTATTATCCAACATAAGACTCACATCATAATACTTTAGAATTACATTATATTTAGGAATATGTCATCTTAAATTATTGATGTCTGAAATTCTTTTACATGTATACAATTTTCTACAATCCTTAAATTTACATTTCTTTACCCCTTCAACTAGACAAACTTCTTCAAAATAATTTCACATTTTAGAAGTATTAGTCTTTGTTTTCTTAGAAATTTCACCCTTTTGTTCAAGGTTATCCTCTTACTATTACTACGCACATCAGAATTATGATTGTTAATAGATGACCAATTGAATGAGCACCTTCTATAATGCGAAATAGAGTTTTCATAATTTAAACAACAAATGTTGCGAGAATAAACAAATGAAAAAAAAGTTAAAATTTAATCAGAAAACAAAATAACGAAAATGAAAATACCTGTAAAGAATACACATATAATCATTCCAAGAAGAAGTGTTTGAAGTGTGCATATGAGAGAGAGAAGAATGTAAGAAGTCACCATAAGAGTGTGACCATAGCAACATAAACAAAAACAAATGAAGTTTATAATTAGAGTTTATTATCCTCTATATATTATGAATATATATATATATATATATATATATATATATATATATTATAAAATAATATTATTTTTAATTTATTTTAAAAATAATAATTATTTTATAAAATGGGTCAGCCCATACATACCGACTAGTTTGACAATTTAGGTTATAGTCTTAATAGATCGGGTCAAGATTGATATAGTTTATTTAGACCATAAATATTTTCACCTAACTTGACCTATTTTTTAGGTCTTTTAACCTAACCCATCAGATTAAATCTATTTCGACACTCCTATAAAAAATCTACCTCATTTTTTCTATTTTATCTTTATTTAATTAAAATTCAATTATTTTTAAGTAATAGATCAATTCCTGAGTAGACCAACGAGTCTAGTTTATTTTTCAAAAATATATAATTTATAAAAGAATTCTTTAGAATTTTTTTAATGCATGGATTAATATATTAATTATCGTAATTATATATTCTTTTTCCTTCTATTATACTGTTTATTTAATTTCTCTCTCAAATAAAATAGATAAATAAAATAATAAAATTTTTTTTATCTACATTTTCTTCTTATAACTTTCTCTTCATGTATATAATGCATAATATTTAGAATAAAGATCTTTTTCAATTTTTGTTTCCATTTTCCTCTCAAATAAAAATAATAAAACATTATCAATTCTCTCTCATCTCATCACAAAATACTCTTAATTTTTTTAATAGAAAAAATACGGATATTCTATATATATATATATATATATATATATATATATATATATATATATTATTTACGCTAATTACTATTTTAATAAAATATCATAGTTATAAAATGATGATAAAAATAAAAGAAAAAAAGATTAATATATATTATTAAAAAAATATTAATTTTAAAATTATATTTTTCTTAAATATTAAACTAATAATTTTAAAATTATATAAAATTGATATTAATTAATTAATTATTTTTAAAATAAATAATTTTATTTTTTAATGTCATTTTTTCAAACATACCTAAAAGTATAATTAGGTATTATAAAAATAAAAGACATAAAGATATAAGACGTTTTCACAAACTAGTACTTGAAACTGTATCAAAATGGTACTTTTATAATATAAGTTTTAATTTAAGAGTTTAAAAGTGTTGTTTTATTAATACTTAAATTTATTTTATAGTATTCAATGATAAAAATAATTTAATCAAGATTCTATGTTCAAAATTACTATTAATTATAGTAAAAATTATATATAAAAATATTTAGCCATTATTATAACGTAGAAACATATTTGAGATAATAATAGAAAGTTAGGGACATTTGAAAAATTTGCCGACATTGACGCGTAGCGATTTCCACCATCACTATCAACGGATCTATGACCCTATCACTGTCCCGCAGTTTGTCACTATTCGGGTCGGGTTGAGATTCTGTCTCCAACCCTAAACACATTTATTTTTAGGTGAAATTTCACCCAATTCTTGTTAGATAATGTTAAATATTACTTAGATTATAATAATTTTCAATTTAAAGCTAGTAGAATGCCACGAATAGTAATAGTTGATTAAAATAACTTAATGGTCTTTTATATTTAATGATACTTAATAAAAAATTAATTACCGAATAATTTAGAAATAAATAAATAAATTCAAATGCCATAAATTGGCCATTTAAGAGTGGCGTGAATGACTATAATTGCAAACTCAAAGGTGTAGTGGTTGGCGTTTCAAGTTTGTAATTTTCAAAAACAACACCTCGCCAATTAGTTTAATTAAGGCCATTAATGAAAATTATGGACCTAAATGATTCCAACTTAATGTAAGTCACTATTAATATTTTATCATATTTTAAATTTAGTCTGATATAAATTGTAGTTTTCGCAATGGATTCGGTGCATGCGCAGCTACGCAAACGGTTGAGACAAATCCACTAAATTCTAAAATAATAATTAGTTAATTATTATTTTCGTTATTATCATTATTTTATTATTATAATACAAGCCAAAAATTCAACTTTGATTTTTTTCTAGTCGAACTCCACGTTGTTGATTGTATTCGACCTACCATTTCATATAATTGCAATTGCACCTCTTTTCGGTTACGTATGCATTCACATTAATGATTTAATTCATTTTCTCATAAAATAAAAAGAAATGTTAAAAATGTATGCCCGTCACGTTCCACATGTGACTCGACGTCGAGGTGAGCGCGTGGACGGATATGGGTGATTATGAACTAAGAAGAGTATTAGTTAAAATATATTAAATTAAATATGATATTTAAAAAAATAAGAATAAATTAATATAAATATTGTATTAGAAAATATATTCGAACTCAAGCGAAGATATCAATTTGTTCTTAATGAATCAACTTTAAAAATATTTAAATACTTAGGTTAGAGAGAATGTCCTCTTATTTTGTTCAGTGGACTTGCTTCTTACATTGTCGGTTCGTTTCCTATGTAAGCCTAAGTCTTCGGTCAAAGCAAAATAAATAAATTTCACAGGCTTTAAATTATATATATTTTTTTATACTTAGCCCTTGTTTGGTTGGAGTGATTTGAGAGAGTGGAAATGAGAAAGTGGAAAAGGAGAGATTTGAAGAGAAATGGAGATGATTAAAAAGTGAAGGAAAAATTTATGGGAAATTGTGAATGATTTGATTGATATGAGATATAAAAATTATAATTTTATGTTGATTATTTAAGAAAATTACCATTTTACCCTTTGCATGGGTGTTGTGCATTGAAGGAACCTCCTAGATATGTAGGCTAATCCAAATAAATAATAAAAATATTAAAAAAAACATATTAAAAACATTTGTTTTTTAAATATAATGTTATATATTTATAATTACTAAATATATATAAATATTTTTTTTAAACTGTGTTTATAATATAATTATTTTATACTTATAATATATTTATACTAATTAAAACATGATAACAAATGTCTTTTGTAATTTTTTTTAACTATAATATTGAAATTTATTTATGAATATGAGAAAAAATGAAGTAAAAATATGACAATAAATATAAAAGTTATAACAAATATTTTGTTAAATAAATATTTAATAAATTTATACTAATAAAATTTATAAATATCGATTATAAATTAAGATTCAGATCTCGGGTTGCATTTCGCTCGAGCGACTATATCTCGTTCGAGCGAAAACGATCCTGATCGATCATAATTTGAAATGATCGATCATAATTTGAGGATATAATAGCGGTTCCTCTGCAGCGCTATCTAAAGTGTATATTAGATAGCGGTTCCGGTGGAACCGCTATCATATACAACCATATTTTAATTTCTTCGAGTCTCGGGTTGTGTTTCGCTCGAGCGACCATATCTCGCTCGAGCGAAAACGATCCTGATCGATCATAATTTGAAATGATCGATCATAATTGGAAGCATATAATAGCGGTTCCTCTGTAGCCGCTATCTAAAGTGTATATTAGATAGCGGTTCCGAGTGGAACCGCTATCATATACAACCATATTCATAGGGATCTTGCATCAAACATTGGATGCATTCGTCCCCCATGTTTGCGAGAATGAGGCAAGAAGGAGCCCGAAGCAAAGGCAGAGCCAAAGCTTCTCAAAGAAAGACAAAACAGAGTGAGCAAATCCTAGGAGCATACAAATACACTCGAATTGGATTGGGTATCATCCCTATAACTCCATCATATTTCGCAATCATGGAGAACGAGTAATATTAGAACGAGTGGATCTCATCCCAGTAAAAACTCACTCGTCGGAGGGTGTGGAATGGATACTATCAACGAAACGGTGGCATTATTTTTCCCTCACAATTAGAGGGTTTTCCCACACAAAATTTGTTTTAGAAACTCCATGCTTACCATTATTGCTTCACTAAACGCTCTGTTATCATTATGCATCAAATAAGGAATTAAATGGGGGAAAATAACAATTTTTGGAACCTTCACGATAAATCGGTGACAACTCATCCTGGAACAATGGCATTGACGTGCATGGTTGAGTGAGAAGCACCCCATTGCATCTTCGGTATGTGAAAAAGTAGAAGCAACCTAGGGGTAGTAGAGGTGGCGGTGAAGGTGCGAAAGTAACGAAGTGTGTGTGAGAGAGATGAATGTGAATGTAAGAGAAACATAGAAAAGGAGGGAGAAGCGATGATACCTTATGGCTGGAAACTGTTGCAGACAGAGAAGTCTCGGGTTATGTTTCGCTCGAGCGACTATATCTCGCTCGAGCGAAAAAAGATCCTGATCGATTAGATTTAAGAAATGATCGATCATAATTGGAGGATATAATAGCGGTTCCTCTGTAACCGCTATCTAAAGTGATATATAATAGCGGTTAAGATTTAACCGCTATTAGAAGTGATATATAATAGCGGTTAAGTTTTAACCGCTATTACAAGTGCTATTATAATAGCGGTTAAGATTTAACCGCTATTACAAGTGCTATTATAATAGCGGTTAAGATTTAACCGCTATCATATGGAAGAGGGTAAGTTGGACTTTTCATTATCTCCAACAGACTTTCGTCTCTTTTCTTCGCAGATTAGCGAAGAAAGTCTCTCTCCCCTCTCCCCCTTTTCCTCGCCTGCATTTCTTCGCAAATCTGTTCAATCAAACGTGGGTGAATCTCGTGTTTCTGTCTTCGTGAACAGTATTTCCTCGCAAATCAGTTCAAACAAACACAGCGTTAGAGTGGTCCAAATAAATTATTTTATTCAACCATAAGGGATAAAATCTATACATTCTTGTTTACGAACTTTTCTCATCAATCACTTTATATAAAAAAAATATTAGTGGTAATAAGAATCATTATTAATATGTGAATAATTAAAATATTTATTTTTTTTACCAATAAATATTTAATATATATATATATATATATATATATATATATATATCCATTTAGTATATGTGATGGATTTTATTAAGTGACATGAATTATTTTTAATCTTTAACGAAGAATGAACTATAAATAAATGCAAATTAAAGTTGAAAATATTTTACTGTCCCCTTTTTATTCCCTGAAGGCCCAAAAATTCGTTACTCAAAATTGATGTATTTAAGGGGTTAAGAAACTTCACTTGTGAAACTTCATTGAATGTTGGCGATAACAAAAGTAACTTCACTTGTGATAGCTAGCTAATGGGGCCACATGCATATTTGGTTTGTTAGAGTGAAACTTTCAATAAAAAAAAATTTGAATAAAATGTAGTAAATGGTCATTAAATGATGTCCTTGAGAGATTTTGATTAATAAATAATCTTTTTGTTGTTTTCATCACCAGCTGTTACAAGGAGCTTTTCATCTATTGTGAGAAGGTCACATCATGAAAAGGTGTATATACACATGAATACTAACATATTTTATTTGTTTAATTGAAAACAAAATAATTGTCTAATTTTATATTATAAAAATATTGTAAATATTAAGAACATAAACTCATACGAGTGAACAAAATTATAATCTTAATAATTACAACTCACTAGGTTTGTTGCAGATTTATCGAGTCCTCCTCATGTATAGCCTATAGGAGTTCATGGACAATTTTATTTATTATGATAGTCTCAAATGTTTTCTGAACATTCATAAAAAAAAATTCAGTAACAAAAATTATTATATTAGTAATATAATTTTAAAATTAAAAATAATTAACAAAATATACCCCATATTTTTAAAGTTCATAACTGTTATTTTAAAATTATTAATAATTATTATATATGAAATTAGTTAAAATATTTTGGTTATTTAAAAAAAATGTTTAATTTATTATATTTTATACTCTTATTATTATAAACATTTTAAAAAAATTAAAAACAAAAACATTAAAAACTGTTTTTAAAAATAATAAACAAGGTGAAAAAAATTAATAGACTTTTAGGGTCTTTGAATTATCAAAGAAAAAAAAAGAATAGAAAAAAGTACTCTCTTTGCTCGTTTATTCAGGTACAAAAATAAAACTAATTCTTTTTGTGAAGACTAATTTATCCTTAGACATTATAATAAGAAAATAATGTTAGAATTGTATCTTGGGTAATTTTATTTTAATTTTTTCTTGCGGGATGTGTTTTGAACGGGTTTAATAAAAGTAATTTTAAAGTCTTTATTTCTCTCATCACCTTAACAAAATAAAATTACTATTTTTTTCTTTCACTCTTATCTTTTTACAATAAGTCAACAATTTTAAGTGGGTGTTAACAGAAGGGTTAAAATTCACAAAATTGCTGCAACATGTCCCTAAATTTCAGCCCAACGCGGATCTCGTTTATCTCATAGCGCTTCACACGGCATTCTTTCTTCCCTCCCTCACACAGTCTTTGTTCAGTTCAATTCAAATTTTTATTTGTTTATTTTTTATTTCACTAATTAGTATTTTATAGATTCTCAAATCTCACTCTTTCTTTTTCCAAATACTTTATTCATTTATTAATTATTTTATTATTTTATTCATTTATTTCGTCGGCAAAGTCTAAAGAAAATGAATTAACTAAATTAGGCATCGGCAATTGGCAGCAGTGACCAGCTACTAAACTCTTTTTCTCTCACTCTGCTATTTAAATCACTCACTCGCCGAAGCTTTCATTTCACACTTCTCTTCTCTTCTCTGCTCTTCCGTCTCTCCGTTAACGCGATGGACTGATAGCACTTTTCAGATCTGCTTCTCTTCTCACTCAGATCGCGTTAACCTATTCTCCTTCTGTGTGCTACGAATCGCGCATAAGGCGTTTTCTCCTCCGAACCAAACGAACCTTATCTTCTTTCAGTGCTGATTCGCTCGCGTGGAATCTTGTTCGGCGTAAGTTTCTTGCCGCAGTTCTGCTTTGGTTAGATCCGTGTGATTGCTGTTTATTTGAATCGATTTGACTTGCCTATGCACCTAGAACATGTCTTTAGTTGCAAATGTAAAACATTTATTATATATCGAACAAGACAGACATTTAATGCTTGTTTGGATTAAGTGATCTAAAGGTAGCTCAATGCATTCAATACTCCTTACATGTGCTCGTGGCAGAATAATCGTGCTTCATTGTGTTGGATATGTGATAGTTGGCATCTTATTTCGTTTTGAAAATTGTGTCGGTGATGGCACCACATGCAAAATATTCGAAGTGGTTTTTTCTTAATTTTCAGGTGTGAAAACGTTATGATCCGCATGTTTCTTGCTGTGGTTTTATAATCATGGTTCTATTTGATTTAGTTTTCTTCTCCTTTTCTGGGTTTTCTTGATTGAATTTTAAGTTTGTTTCTATTTTAGTATAGAATGCGTTTTGTATTTTCAAGCAATTAGATGCATTTACTTTTTTATTTAATGTTTTCTTAGTTTATTTACCAGAGGGAGGATTGTCGTTGATTTTGTTTACTATTCTTGTACAAGCAGTTTGGTGTAGCTCTTTGTGAGTGGTGTTTAAATCTTGTTTGGTTCTTTACCAGGTGTACGTCGTCTGTGAATTCCGTCGGGCAAGATGGCTTTGGGGAAATATACTAGAGTTGATGGTAGAAGATCATCGAGTTGGTGTTCCACGGTGACTGTTGTCGTGTTTGTGGCTCTATGTTTGGTTGGGGTTTGGATGATGACATCATCTTCAGTTGTTCCTGTCCATAATGAAGACGAGGCTCAGGAGACTAAGAATGAAGTGAAAGAACAAAACGATATGAAAGAAGAAGCTGCCGTTGATATCAGCAATAGCAATGCTAGGCAGTTTGAAGATAATCCAGGTGATTTGCCTGAGGATGCAACCAAAGGAGATAGCAATGTACCCTCTGAGGACAATCCTAACTTGTCAGAAAAACAAGATGAGAAGTTGGAGGAAAATTCTGTAGACAGGTCTTCTGAAGATACAAAGACGGAAGACAAATCTTCTGAAGACACAAAGACGGGAGATGAGGATAAGAAAACCGAAGAGGAAGGTTCCAATACAGAAAATGAATCAAGCCCAGACTCTACTGAGAACAAAGACAGTGACGAGTCTTCCTCTAAGGATTCTGATTCGGATGAGAGTGAAAAGAAATTTGAATCAGATGATAACAAGAAGTCTGATTCAGATGAAATTGAGAAGCAATCTGATAACTCTGATGAAACAACGGATAGTAGAATAGAGGAGAAGGTGGAAGAAAGTGATAACAAAGAATCGGATGGAAATTCTAGTGAAAATAATACAAAGGATAGTACCAAACAGCAGAGTTCAAATGAGGTATACCCTTCTGGGGCTCAGTCAGAGCTTCAGGATGAAAGTAAAACAGAAACTGGATCTTGGTCAACTCAGGCAGCGGAGTCTAAGAATGAAAAGAAGTCTCAAGAATCCTCCAAGCCAACTGGATACAATTGGAAGCTTTGCAATGTCTCTGCTGGTCCTGATTTTATCCCATGCCTTGACAACTGGAAAGCTATTAGGAGTCTCCGAAGTACTAAGCATTATGAACATCGGGAAAGGCACTGTCCTGAAGAACCTCCAACCTGCCTTGTTCCTGTTCCCAAAGGATATAAACGTTCAATTGAGTGGCCTAGAAGCAGAGAGAAGGTTGAAATCTACTTAAATCTTGTTAATTCTCATTTTCTGTCTGATCATTTACCCGTCCATAAAATAGTAAGTTTTTCTCCTGCAGATATGGTATCACAATGTTCCCCACACCAAGCTTGCTGAAGTTAAGGGTCACCAGAATTGGGTGAAAGTTACCGGAGAGTACCTTACTTTTCCTGGTGGTGGAACCCAATTTAAACATGGGGCACTTCATTACATTGACTTTATACGAGAGGTAATACGTACATGAGTGTGCATGTCCATGAAATTTGACTTTGATTTGTTGCTGTTAATATTGTGTCCAGAAATATGTAGATATGTATGTATGGCTTTCACCGAACGTTCCATAAATTGAAATTATGTGTTATGTCACAATCGTGGTACCAAGTTACCAACTAATCATATTTTATCTTTGAGCAAATTTCTATCCGATATTTAATTTTACATCCTCAATCTGCTTATTTCTTTGTCTCTCCTATTACCTTATTCTAATATAACTTAAAGAAGAAATACATAAAAAAAGACAAGGGAGAATCAAGATACTGTTGTTATATATGCCACGAATCTCTGAGTTTATATCCTTTAGTATTTATGATGCGTTATTCAGACATTTTGACCAATTTATAGACAACTTGATACCTAATTTGTCCTGTGCACGAAAGGGGAAAAACATTTGACAACTATAAGACAACACCACAAATCTGTTAATCTAAGCTTGTGGGAGACATCTCATAGGCAACTGGTACGAATCTTACACTTCAATATGATTCATGTATATTGACAATGGCATAGTTATGTTTTTTTCCATCGGCTAGTGTGGAGTTTATACTCACTTTGGTAGGAATTGCGCATAGGGTCGACACCATGAAAGAAACAAATAGTAAACATGATAAAAATAATGGCAGTCCAATATGAGTTTATGGCAACAATATTTTAATTTTGTTCGAGTTAAAAGTTCTCCAATGACCTTCTGTGCCAACACCCAACGGAGAAAATTAAGTTACGCAGAAGACAGCCAAAACTTGACACATAGCTCTACCATATCCTTCAACCAATACTTTATCAATGGTAGAAGTTCTCCTCTCTAGTATATGGTGTGATGACAAGTCCTTATTCTTTCATCCTAAAATTTGTCTCGGTTTTGATAATTGTTTACTTGATTTTGTTGTGCTTTTCATCTAATAGGGCTTTTGTGATACAGACTGTACCTGACATTGCTTGGGGCAAACGCACACGTGTTATACTAGATGTTGGATGCGGTGTTGCCAGCTTTGGAGGTTTTCTCTTTGAAAGAGATGTACTGGCAATGTCATTAGCACCAAAGGATGAACATGAAGCTCAGGTACAATTTGCACTTGAAAGGGGAATTCCTGCTATATCTGCTGTGATGGGTACAAAGAGGCTTCCCTTCCCTGGGAAAGTCTTTGATGCTGTCCATTGTGCACGATGTAGAGTTCCGTGGCATATAGAAGGTATTCAGTTTACATAACTTTTTATATTGGTCATTTGATGAATTCATTATTCATTATTTTTCTAAATCATATTCATTTTAGGCTTTTAGATTACAAGAGAACATATAAACTGTATTAATGTAAAATTACATGAGTGTACTGGCTTTTATTTTAGATTTTTTATTGGTTATTTCATGAAAACGAGATACTTTTCATGAAATGCATTTGTTTTTAACTACACAAGGAGGGTACAACAATCACCAATATCCTAATTACCATAAATTACAAGATTTGACTTGTGTATTTACATTATATATATACTCTCCAACAATTCTTATTGTCATACTGCAGGTGGTAAACTTCTTTTGGAGCTGAATAGAGTATTGCGACCTGGTGGGTTTTTTGTGTGGTCTGCTACTCCTATTTATCAGAAGCTCCCTGAAGATGTTGAAATATGGAATGGTAAGTTTTAGATAGACTTATTTGGACACTCTTATGTATTTTTAGGTGTTTTAATCCTGGTATGTTATGAACTTATTTGCAGCCATGAAGGCACTAACAAAAGCAATATGCTGGGAACTTGTTTCAATCAGCAAGGATCAAGTAAATGGAGTAGGTGTAGCCGTATACAAGAAGCCAATTTCTAATGAGTGTTACGAGCAACGTTCGAAGAATGAGCCTCCGCTGTGTCCAGACTCTGATGATCCTAATGCAGCATGGTATTTCGTCACTAACGGACTCTTTTTCCTACCAAAACAGAAAATAGATTAACTGAGTTAGTTGCTGACGTAATCTTTGACTATGACATTATGAGAGCTTTAAAATAAAGCTGCATATTTGTTTTTTCCTCCTTGCGAAGTTCAATAATATTGTAGTATTAAACATGCAGTCTAATATCTTCGGTGTGACAGGAACATTAAATTGCAAGCTTGCATACACAAAGCGCCAGTTAGTTCAACAGAACGAGGGTCAAAATTGCCAGAGAAGTGGCCAACCAGGCTGACTAAAGTTCCTTATTGGTTGTTGAGTTCCCAGGTTGGAGTTTATGGAAAGCCAGCCCCCGAAGATTTCACTGCCGATTATGAACACTGGAAACGTGTAGTGTCCAAGTCTTATCTAAATGGGATGGGAATTCAATGGTCCAATGTACGCAATGTCATGGATATGAGATCTGTCTATGGAGGGTGAGCAAATGTCACTGTTTCGAATGTTACTCTTTAATTATATTCACCTGCTAATATGTAATTTGTTTTACATCTTTCACTGGTTGTGGTTTCCAGATTTGCTGCAGCTTTGAGAGATTTGAATATTTGGGTCATGAATGTGGTTTCAATAGACTCGCCAGATACCCTTCCCATTATTTATGAACGAGGTCTTTTCGGTATATATCATGATTGGTGTGAATCATTTAGCACCTATCCTAGAACCTATGATCTCCTCCATGCGGATCATCTTTTTTCAAGCCTTAAGAAAAGGTGCAAATATAACTACTTACTATATCTCTAAATCTAAAACGTTTAAAAATTTCTTGTTCTTATTTACAAGACTCTTTGCTTTTTGTTAATTTAATGTTAGCACTAATGATTGGTGTTGCTAATGCTTGTTGGTGTCACAGGTGCAATTTGACTGCTGTCTTGGCCGAGGCTGATCGGATTCTTAGGCCAGAAGGAAAACTTATTGTTCGTGACACTGTTGAGCTCATTGAAGAGCTTGAGAGCATGGTAAGGTCTATGCAGTGGAAGGTTCGCATGACTTACTCCAAGGATAAGGAGGGTTTGCTATGTGTGCAGAAGTCCATGTGGCGACCTAAGGAACTGGAGACGCTCGAGTATGCTATTATTTAAGCACGGCTGAGATTCCAAGTTCTTGGGTTTTTTGGCTACTCTAAATTCTAATGTAACTCTACTTCCACTATGAATCATGTATCATGTTAGTTAGGAATCTATGTATTCTTCTTTTTCCTGCTGAGTATTAATTTTGATATCCCCTATTTATGTTTATAGATTGGTATCCTTTGTCCTTTGTTGTAACACGGTGCCATAGCATGAAGGAAATTTTATCACATTCTTGCAAATGTAGAGGCCATTCGCTTATAATTAGAAGCGTGTACTAGTTGAGAATTTGGAATATTCACTTCACCACAACTGCTTGTATTTATAAAAGAATAGCTATATTTACTTTCGAAGTCTCTCTCTATACATACCTAC